CAATCATTTAGTCCAAATAGTTCAAATAAAAGTGAAGTTACATTTCTTAATTGATTGGGAGTTGAAAGGTGAAGTAACAGGAAAAGGGAATGAAAATAACAGTTATATGATTGACCTTGGGCGAGCCATTTAATCTCTCAATAGATAAACAATGGAGTAACACTTAATGGACCGTTGTGAGGATCAAACAGAATAATGTCTATGAAAGTAGTCTGTAAACTATAAATTTGTAAACAATGACTAGCTACTGTTAATAAGGAGAAGTGTCTTTTATGTGTGTATTTTTACTTTTACCTTTACTATTTCTAGAATACTCTAAAAATTTTACAAATTTATATCTTTGAGAGGGAAAGGAGCTAGGTCAGGGGAGGGGAGGATTGGTCCCATCTGTTGCCTTACTCTTTAGTGCCTACAACAGCTAGCACTGGGCTGACTCTGGGAGGCAGCAACTCAGTCCAGCTCTCCTATGTGAAAGTCAGGGACCCAATTGCTGGAACCAACACTGCTCCCTCCTAGGGTCTGCATTTAGCAAGTGGCAGGAGTCAGGAGCTGGGACTTGAACCCAGAAGTGGGCATTTTAATCATGAGGCTAAAAAAAAATGCACCCATCTTTTAAAAATTCAAATAATTTATTTATTAATTGAAAACATCTTGCATTTAAGAGAATAATATCTTCAAGTGCCAATTACCTGATAAAAGCCACAACAGTATATGGACAGTGTTCTTCCCTCACTGAATGAACCCCCTTTTAAAATCCATGAACATATTAATTCATTAATACTAGGAGACAGACTGTTAAAACATTAATGTTAGTACAGGCCTGGTATTAAAAGCATAGCTGCTTTGTAGAGTTTAAACACCTGAGGCATGCACTGTCCCTTCAAATCCTCTCCATGTGCTTCCCATGTGAATTGCTCAATTTGCAGGATAATCTTGAAATGTCCAAGGAAAAACAAATGTTGGTGACAATAAGCAAATCCAAATCCCAATGTGTGGCTGGTAAACATTTACTCTGTAACTAATACTTCTTGCTTCTCCACAAAACCAAAAGCGTTGTAACTGCTCTTTTCCACACTCCCTCGTTCAATATTTGTAAACTAAATTCACTTCCAGTCAAATTAAACAAAATAGGTTTTTATTTATCCAAGTATTTTATACTGAACAGCTCCCTAGAGGTTCTCCATTTCCTGGCTTGAGTATTATTCTTGCCTTTAGCTTATTAGATCGACAAGGTTAATTTTAAAACAACCTAGGGAACTTTAAGTGATTCTTGGATGGGCTAACGTGCTTTGCACATATGGTCAGCCACCCATTTTTTTGTGCTTGTATTCTTATGAAGGGATACTTTCGCATTCATTTTGATAACTTCTCAGTTTACAAAAAAAAATACACTGCCAACATCTCTTACATGTTTTGAAACATTATCATTAAATAAAATGCTTTCAGTTTTGTTCCTCATACAAGTGAATGCTTTGTCTAGTTTTAGCTAAAGCAATTTGATTAGATAGTATGACTGTTTATTGCCGACCTTCTTCCCCTCTTTTCATCAGAAATCCAACATAGGGTACGCAGCATCTAATTAAATTCATACAAAGAACAAATACTTGAACAGTAACCAAAATGCATTTCAAAGTATCAATTAATGTGACACCTAATTTCTTCCCCCTTTTCTAACCATGCCAATGTGCATGGCCTATCCATAAAACACAATATATTTTGTTGAATTCAACTAAAATATGCTTTGTAGTTCAGTTCAAGAGTCATATCCAAAAGTTATAAGCAGGCTGCTTGTAGGCATTTTCGATTTGATTTTTAACTCTACCCACCATCCCCCAAACCAATGATATAATAAATTCATTCTCAATGTTATTTGTTAATTTGAGAAGGATTCTAACCTCTAATGCTTTTATTTCTCTTATTTAATAATGGATTTGTGCTGCTCTTAACAACAATCCTATCTTTTTCATTCTTGTTTCCATGACAGTGAACACACAATAGAAACTATCAAGTCATATACACAGAGATTCTGACAGCAAGGTGCCAGTCAACATAGCTTGTTGAGACAAGCCTTCAAATAATAAAACTATGTTCAACAACACTGAAACAAATGATCACACATCAAGTAATAACACTTTTTGTGCAGAGAGCAGCAAGTGACTAATCGGGCACAAGAGTGGCCAAGCACAGCAAATGGTGAAAGCACACAGCCTCTTGCTCTGTTCTGTTTTGGAAAGGCCATGATCAAAGCTATTTCTACAAGGAATCTGGCAGGTAAAACTGATTACAAGAGCCGTGGTGATGCCATCTTGCTTGTTATATATGTGACTGCCAATCACTGAGCAAGCACTTACTAAGCACCAGCAATGCGGAGACACTGAGTTTGGTGCTAGAACAAGATGAAAAAGACAAGGTTGACAGCTTGAAGGAGCTCAGTATATTTTGGGAAGGAAAGACACCCTGGTAATTTATACCACAAAGCATCATTTGAGGGTTGTGACATACACATAATTACTTAAAATGAAAACCACTGGTGGATTATGAAGAAATTTCTTTTTAAAAAATGTGAAAGTAGCTGCTAAGGTTTTGAATATTATCTATGACCCAGATCAAGTGAGTTACATTGAGCACCTACCATGACCCAGGTACTGCTATCATAGACTGTCTTGGTTTTTCTCAAGGCGCCTAAAAAGTACTTACAATACAACAGATATTTAACTTTTTTTTTTAAAATTTAAACTTCATAATATCAATTTATTGTGTTCTGAGTTAAATGTTTCAAAGGAATGTGATCCTCAGAAACCTAATAACATCATGTTATTAAAACTATGCCTGTTGACTTCATTTTCTCATATCTCAAAGTTCACTTTAAGCAATAATAAATAAAAGCCAAGTTGGCCTTGAAAAAAGTATACAATGCAGGGTCTTTCTGAATACCAATAGTCAATGTCCTGCATGCGCACTCTGACAAACAGCGTTCTGGTTCTGATGTGTATTTCTCCTTAACTTTGATCTTTCCAGTTCTTTCACTGTGTGACAGAATCATTAAAACAGCATGTTGAAGGACTGGAAAATCAACCACGTCCAGACAATGGTTTTAAGGTCTTCTTTAATCCTTGGACAAATGGGAAAACAAGAAAGGCAAGCTCCTTGAGGGCAGGAAGCTTGATTCATTTTCGTCTTGCTCTTTGAGTTTAGTGCAGCGTGTGCTCCAAATGATTGTCAGGGACAATGACAGGTTGGAGCTGCTCCTCTTCAAGACAGCAGCCAAGAGGAAAAGCTGCCACTTGACTCTCCTGTTGCCGAAGGTAAGCAGATGATTGGGTTTTGCATGCTTGGTTTACACTCTTCAAATATTTATAGACACTTCTCTTTGCCTCCAGCCCTAGCTGTCACTTAGCCACATTATACCATACATGGTTCTTTTAATCTTAGAAATCAATCCCACTAAGATCTTTAATCATTCTAGCTGCATTTCTCTAAATTTTTGGCTGTTTGTCTTTCTGGTGATTTACTCGGTTGAAATTCATGAAAAAAAAATAGGAGGTGGAATATAAAGGGATTTAATCACCTTTTAATTTTAGGATTCAATGCCCTTTATTGAACAAAATGAAATGACTTAGTTTTGTATCTTTTTAAAAAAATTCATATTGATGAATACATCAATACATTGCAAGAGAAAGCAAGAAAAAATATCATTGGTATTACATTTTCTTAGGAACCTCCCCATGTGTCTAGAACTGACTGACCTAATCTGCAGTCCTCAAACAAGAAAGAATGGAAATCCAGAGTAAGCCACTGTGGAGACTTAAGTGCCCCTCCGTAGGAGCTGTCCACCTGTGGACACTTCTGCTGAACTTCAGCATTTCAATTAAAAAAATGTAAAAATAAGTTAACATTTACTATTGTAAAAGTAACATATGAAAGAAAAATTTAAACAAATTTTAAACGAAATGTGAAAAACCTGTCTACAGATGGCTACAGAAACATTTAGCAATTTGTTGGTTTTCAAACTGACAAACTTACATCTGTTTGTCTTTACAGTAGGCTTTGAAGAATATGAATGCTGTGGAATGCCACATAATGGCTAATTAACATATACACTGCCTTACATAGTTACTTTTGTGAGGAGAACACTTCAATTCCCATCATTAGCATTTTCAATCATTCAATACATTGTTGATTTACTACGTGGAACAAAACATCTTGGAACATCTTGGAACATCTTCCTCCCACCTACTTGAATTCTTGTATCCTTTGACTAACATAACCCATATCACATGGACTCCTAGGTTGATTCTATGTCTTGGCTATCATGAATAATGATGTAATAAACATGGAAATGTACACACCTCTTTGACACACTTATTTCATTTCCTTTGATATATATCCAACAATGGGACTGTTGAATTGTATGTTCCATTAAAATTTTTTTTGAAACTTTTATATGGCTTTCTATAATGGCTGCTCTATCAATTTTGAATAATTTGATATAAACCCTTTCCAGTGCATTGTTTACTGGTTCCAATAAACATGATTTGTACAGTTAACACCTTGTTTTTTTTTTTACTTAATAGTGTAGCACAAACATGTTTTAATTTTTAATGATTACAGACAAAGCAAGTGAATATAATTTATAATTCTCTATTTACTATTGGACGTTTACATCATTATCTAATTTAAATGTCACACAAAAGAAATCTGTGTAAACTTTTGTTTAATATTATTCCTAGATTTGTAGCAGTCAGATCAATGAGCAAAAGAATACAAAGAAAGTAAATTTTGATGCAAAAAAAGTGAAGTACTGTACTAGTTGAAGTAACAAACACTATCTAAAGTACAAAGATCTGGCCTTTGGCTCCGCTGCTAATAAAGGAATGCTCAGAACTGGTGAAAATGGCAAATTTGAATACATTGATAACTGTATCCACTAGTATTTTACTTCTTTATTTACTTGTTATATGCTGATCCCTTGCTAATTGAACTGAAACTCTTCATCTTACCAAGGTCGACCATCAGAAGGCGGGTGAGGGCTGTGTAGAAGGTTGTTCGGCACCTGAAGTCACTGAGACTGCAATTGTCATTGATGCCAAGAAAGGGGAAGTGTTCACTCTAATGAAAGCGAAAGAATATTCAAAGTTACTGCTGTTTTACACCTAAAGTATCTAGGAAAATTCTGGTCGTTAACTATGGAAATAAGCCTTACCGTATGGTTTTTTAGCATGAATTTCACAGCATCTATTTTCACAAGTTTTTTTAAAAGGATATAGGTGACAGAAGTTAAGGAATGTGAGAAATATGTATTTCAATATGTAGTAAACCAAGAAACTATTCCAAACTACAATGGCATCAATTTCTCATGATGAAGAATAAATATGATTTTTCAAGAGTATTCCTATAGAAATGTCTTTCATTGTGTTAAGAATGATAATCCATTATTAACCAGTACAATTACTTTTTCTATCTTATACATATTCTAGTTATGGAAAGGAAGAATGAATTTCATAATTAAGACAAGAACTTCTTTACTATTAAAGTCTTGATGGTAGAAAATTAAAATGACCCCTTTTTACATATTTGGTGTAACCTGAGATTTCTTTTGGTATAATGTTATTTCATAATCAAGCAATTATAAGAGACACATAATAGGCTATGAAGGAAGAGAAGATTACTCAATTCTAAGAAACAATAGGCTCAGTTGGTGTAAATTTAAGATTAGAATATAATTAGGAAGATATAGCAGAGAGCAGGTTACCAAGTACTGAAAAACAACTTCAGGGAATTTGTATTTCTTAGTACCTACTATGTGCAAGGTATTTTTCATATGTGAATGCACCTAATATTCACAATTAAATTATTAAATATTACTTATTTTTAATCCAAAGATAAAGGAACAGAAGATGAGAGAAACTAAGTTTCTTGCTCAAGGCTACACAAGTGAGATTGATGGTGCAGAGATCTGAACTGAGGTTTGAGTTAGAGACATTGTTCTTTTACTTTACCGTATTATCACCGGAATAGTTTCAATCAGAATGATAATAAAGTTGAAGAATCACAATCATCAACACAAAGTTCAAATTACGCACTGTAAGATGGGGGCTCTAAGCACAGCTCCTCAGTTTGCAAACACTGTCTTAGCTGATGATAGTTATATGCTTACAATTGTAGCTAGAACATCTCTTGGCACTTGCTGCACGCTTCCTACATCTTCCTGGAATATATGGCACCGTTACTACTGCAATGAAAACACTGGCCCCTTTCCTTTCCTTCAGATAATACAGAAACATGGAACTTTGTAAATTGTCTCAGTACAGTGTCACTGAATAGCCTAATTCTAAACTTTATTCACTCAGGTGCCGATTTCAAAAGGTGGAAATTGCAAATGGAAATGACCCAGGAAACCGGAGCGTTTGACTGCACTACTCAGGCAGCTGAATGTGTCTGCATACTATGCTCAGCCCACCTAAACCTTAATCCCTCTTCTTAATAAAATAGTAAATGAAGATGAAACCTATGTCCAAGCTACTTTACAGGCTTGCCTGGAGGATCAGATGATGCAAACGTCTCTGCAATTAGAAATGTAGGAAGAAGACACAAAGACTTAAGACATTTACAGAACAGGTATTACTTGCAAAGCAAATTCTCATAATTTCATAATAAAGCACTATCATTTTCATGCTTCAGATGAGAAAAGAAGCTAATAGTTTTTCATTTCTAAAAAACAATTATTATTTAGCTTCATGTCCCTCTGACTCCAAAGTGACCCTTCCAGCTGCATAGTAAGCATGTATGTGTGGTTCACCTCCATATTAGACTGTACATTCTCAAAGGGCAGCGACAGCATCCAGATATCTTCCTTAGCACCCTGCTCCCAGCAGGACTCAATGCCCTGTGTTTCTGGTAGGCTAAAGGGCAACAAGTTCAAGACCGATAGGAAGTCAGTTTTTCCCTGTATCCAAACATGCAGATTTGACCGTGATTCAAAATCATCAATCACTGAGCAGAACTGCCATTCAAATGTCACTCAGGTAGAGAGGGTGAGGATCAATAAACCTGCAAACATCTTAAGTAATTATCAAGTATGGTCTCTTAAGACCACCATGCTAAAAGTGACAGGGTCTACCAGTAACAGCAAAGCTACCATTAAAAGGAATCTTCCTGTCGGTGCTGTTAATAAACAGCAAGTCATGTTTTGACAATGGAATATTTATGGAAGCAATAAACACAACATTCACAGGAAGAATTTCATCTGCCAAAGACACATTTTTCTGCAGAACTGTGTCTGTGCATTTTGTATCAAGGCCAGCCTTAGTGTCTTCTAATCACATTCTAAAGAAAAAATGATTAAGAATGGATTTTTACTTTTGTCAATAAAGAAAAAAAATAAGAGCTCATCTCAATATTTATGCTACTTTATAGGAATTCCATTCAAAGTTAGTTATGGCTGTTAAGAGGGTTAATATAAAGAAAAACAAATAGACATATCACCTTTACAGTCTTCATACATTCATTTTGTTCTTACAAGAGATTAGAATTTTTACAGGCTGTACCATTTTGTTTGGTTGGGAGTACAGAGAAATTTTGGTGGTAATTGGCTAGATGTAAGGAGCCTACTTAGAGCAGCTCATAGCAGTAAACACGCCAATAATGATGGTAGCAGTAACAGTGACAGTAGAAAGAGTCCTGAGTAGTAGGAGAGAAGTCTGTAAATGTTGCTTATGGACCATGTGCAGGGCAGAGCCAAGACTCACACTGGGCCTGACAGTTTCAGCCTGTCCATTTGATGCTCAACAGACTGGGGCTCCTCTAGAGACAATAAATTCGGAAATAAAATTCAAAACTGGAACCAAGAGCAACCGACAAGGAAACCCTTTCTTTTAGCAGTGGCCAATTCTTTATAAGTCACCATCACATCCAGGACTGAACAAACTCCAGAGGTAAGACTGACTAGTCTGCACATTGTTTAGTAATTTAAATAGTTGCTCAGTGGTTTGTATAGACATTATTGTTTAGTGTAGTTGTTAAAATGCTGGTGGCTCAAACTATAGTACCTGGATCTGGCTCCTTGCTGGGAGGTCCTGGGAGACAGTGGTGATGGCTCAGGTACTGGGTTCCTGGCACCCAGACAGCAGACAGTGAGTTCCCAGCTGCTGGATTTGGACCAGAAAGGGAGTCTCTCTAGGTATCTGGGGAGCCAGCATGGTCCCTCTTTCTCTCTCATATGTGTTGCTTTTCACTTTCTGCCTCTCAAATAAATTAAAAGCAAAACTGGTTTAAAGGGGGATCCTTTAAATAAACTTAAATTTAAATTTAAATAAAAGATTTAGTAAATAAATCTTAAAAAAAAAACGAAGCAATTAGATTCATGATGCATGTAGATAGAAATAACAGTCACCAATTTCCAGCCTACAGGAACTGAGGGAACAGTCCCGAAGTCTTAGAGTGTGAAACAAAGGAAATGTTTATCACAGATAACAAGGACCAGCTTCCTGAACATGTGCCTGTGCCTAGAAAGATCTGATCTTAGTTTAATGCTCATCTGTTGTGGTCTGAAATTCTTAATAACTTTAAACAAGGTACTCAACTGTTTTCATTTGTTCTAGGCCTTGAGAATCACATGGTTTTTCAGTTAACATTGGAGAAATCATTTTTTTTTTTCTTTTAAGAAATGTGGAGCTTAACTGCATCAATAAGGCCACACACTCACAGAAAGAGGATTCTTGAATACATTTATGAATTAACAATTCTTTTACGGGGTCTCTTTTTTAAAAGCTAAAGGTATGCTCTAAACGGTAATTACCAACAGCGAGCCTGACAGAGAATGACATTTTCTTTCTTGTTAGTACAAATCTGAAATCACAAGTGAGGCACTGACTACTGTAAATTTTAGTAAAGAATGAAGTGAGTAGAAATAAGGCTCGCTTATGTTTTAAGAAAGGAAAACTCAAAGTAATGATTAATAAGCTGAATTTTGGGTAATGGGCACTATCTTCCTCCCTATTTCTCAGCATTTAAAATATTTAAGTTTATTTGATTGCTCTGTGTCAGCCTTCCTCTTTCTAGCTTTTTCAGAAACTTACTTGTTCCAATCACCTGAATAATTAATTTCACCTCCTTCTTCGAAAGAAACTGGATTTCTGACCAGAAAACACTGCAAAGAAAGGCCTGGCTGGGGAGGGCTGGCACTAGGAACAGTCATGCCCAGCTCTGCACATGTTAGAGATGCAAGAATTTTCCAAACTTTGTCTCAGAAGTTTATAGTATGTTCAAAATGTATCTGCTAACTTTGTTATATGAGACCCACTTAGGAATCTGATAGGAATACATGTATTTTTCCCTCAGAAATGTCATTGCACTTTAAAATGACAGTGGTCTTACCAATTCAGAAAGCTTCAAATTTGGCAGACAGCAATTCTGGGGTGAATGGCAACAGGCTATGCAGTTACAATCTGCACGGATGTAACAGCTGCCACCCCTCTCTCTCCCCCCATTACTGTTGTTTAGGGAATGGACTATTGTATCTTTAAAATGTTAAGCCTGACTTTCTGGTCAAAGCAAAATCCTACAAAGAAGTGCCTGTAGGAGAAATATTTGATTTTTCTGTTCACTCAGAAGTTCCAAGTGTATGATCCCAGATCACCAAAGCATCTCAAGCGCATTCAGGCTTTTGGTCTAACACCTTCTGAAATCCTGGGGAGTGGTGCCTAACAACTCCTGTTGCAGCAGGACTCATATTCCGTCTCAAACTGAGCTTTGAGGCCACAGCTTTAGGGCAACTGAGAGAGCTATTCAGCATTTGCCAAAAAGGAGGTTATTCCTGACTTCAAATTCTAAACAACTGGTCACATTAAAAAGAAAAGCAAAAACAAAAACAAAATCCACCAAACTTCAGAGACAGGTTTTGAGTATCACAATCTAAGTAAGGTTCAGTTTGAATTAAATAAAATAGGAAAGGTAAAACAACCCACATTAGAAGACATGCACTATAAAGTAAAATGGTACATTTAACAATTTCATAGTAAGAGGACACAGTTTTAATTAGTAATATTTCAAGTCAAAATATTTTGAGCATTGGTATATGAATACATTTCCATTAAGAGGGATCAGTAGGTGATTATTTTTATCTTGTATAATTGTTTCTATGGTTGAAAAAATAATCTTATTTTCAACACAAAAATAATGTAGTATTATAAAATCAAGGTTAAGAAACACAATGTAATAAAAAAAATCAATTGGAAACAACAAAACATATACTAGGCCATCAGTGCCTGCACTGAAACAGATACACTACTCACATATTCCATTATGTAAATGAATTCAAAGATATTTCATGACTGATCAGCTAGAAGGGACATAATGATTTATAATTCAAATAACTGAGCAATGAAATCAAATTGAGCTAATATATATTTCTAAATATGCAAACCTGAAATAATTGTTAAAAAATATAAATCAATGTATCCATGTTGAAATCATTTATATTCTTTGGTTTAATTTTTCAGCTTTTTAAACTTATATCTAATAAGTTTCCCAAAAATATGATTTTTTTTATTAACTTCAAGAAGTATTCAAAAGCACTAAATAGCTTGTAAAATAAAAGGTTATAATATTTGGATTAATGAATACAATAAGTATAATGTGAAAGGAAAAGATCTTAAATAGCAGATACAAATAGATGTTATGCAAATTATACTAAAAAGAATACAAATCAAATTAATTTTATGTTAAATAGCAATTCCGTCCTACAAAATAGGGTAAATTTAAACAACAGATGTATGCTAAAAAATAACTAAGCCTTCTTTTTAAATAGTATGCTCTCAAAGTAATTCAGTGTGAAAAGGCCGGAGTTTGCAACACTAGGAAGTACTTATAAACCACTTCATATGTTTGAAATAAAGAGTATTTCAGCATTATTATTGGAAAAAAATACAGGTTAGGTTTTTTTTTAATAAGAAAAAAATACATATCTTAAAAAGCCAAAATGACCACTAGAATTGGGTTGTACATCACTTTCCAGTAAAAAGGAAAAACAGCCTGGACAGGTGTAATTTATCATTTTTCTGATTTAATATCAAAGAAATATATTAAAATAATAAAAAGAATCCTGAAATCCTCAAAATTTGTAGTGATAAATAGCCCTCCCTGTCTTTATTGCATTATACCTACTAACAGAAATATTGCATGGTGGATTTTGCCAGACAAGGACGATTATTTTCCAATAAAAAGTTGCATATTAAATTCCAGCACAAAAGTGGGTGTCTAATACTTTGGAAATCTTTTATGGTTTACCACAGAACACAATTTTAAACTTAACTAATACAAACATATTCCTGGAATGAACCTTCACCAGTGGTTTCCATCCAATGCCACTCCTTTTCAGAATTCATCCTTTTATTAAAATATAAGCTAATCTTAGTGGCGAAATAAATCAGCACTTATTTTCACAGCACCTATACATTTGATTGTTAATATTTAAAAGACAATTTACATGGTTCTCTTTCATTGGTAGAAACATAACAATAGTATCAAATGTAATACAGTAAGAATGATTCCTGGTTTCAGATTGCAAAAAAAAATCTGCTAGTTTAGAGAGAGCTCAACATTTAATATAATATAGGAAATCTTACTTTAGAGTAGCTATGAGGTTGATTTGTTGGGGTCAATAATTAATGAATTAGTCAAAAAGCATATCACTGTCTTCCTGTTACTCTTCAAAGACTCCCAACGAGTGAAAATCTTGCTTTTTTCAATGAAAGAATACTGGAAACATTTAATTTTAAGCACTGTTGTTATAAAGTAACACTGTTTAGAACACTTTGACCTACTTAAAAGACTTTTTGTTAATTATGTGGTTGCATACTTTCTTATGTATGATTTTACCTGGGTGAATATAAACATAACTGTCTTTAGTCAGGAGTCTATATTTCCATTTAATCCAGTTGTGACTGAATTACATGCAGCTAATAAGAGAAGCCTTCAAAGTTTCATGGAGGGGCTGGGGTTTTGCAGGATGGTTAAGATGCAGCTTGCGACATATGCATCCTGTTGCACAGGATCTGGGTTTCAATCTTTGCTCTGCTTCCAGTTCTAGCTTCCTGCTTGAAACAAAACGGCAGGGCACGAAGTGGCAGCTCAAGTATTGGGGCTACTGCCACCCACATGGGAGACCCAGAGTGAGTTCCCAACTCCTGGTTTTGGCCCAGCTCAGCTCTAGTGTTCTGGGGTACTTGGAGAGTGGATGGGAAATCTCTACTTGTCTCTCTGCCTTACAAATGAATAAAGTAATAAACACTTTTTAAAGTTCACAGATAATGTGTTATGAGAAATTGTGCAGATTGCAATTTTGTTTGCACCAAAACCAATATATTTTCATTCAATTTTTCCATGAATATACCAAGCATGTTGTGTAAAATTTTCAAAAATATGTGTGTAAATGAAAGGTCTCTTATATTTTTTTCAAGTTGTAACAATAAACACAAGGAATATACCTGTCCAGTAGAACACACTTATCAGGCTGCTTTTATATAATATCAGTTGTACAGTGAAAAGGATATCCAACAGAAAGGTCATTTAGAAACTGAAGAGTTCTTGAAATTACAGGCTCACATCTTCCCCAGTATTTAAGGTTTGTAACACTAAATATGAAAAAAAAGTTTTAAATTATAATAACCATATTTGCTTGTGTAGGGAGAACTAAAGAAATGTAGTTATTAACGTAAGTAAGATGATCTAAATCACAGATCTCACAAAATGAAAGTCAGGTTCAAATATCAGTGGGATTTGTTCTGTTCTATATTTTATAGCACATTCAAAATTATATAACCAAACTCAATGAAGACTGCTTTCCAAATGATGCATAATTCTATAAATGTAGTTTTGTAAATTAAAAAGTTGCCTGTTTTATACAAGAAATATTATGTTTTTATCCAAAGCAAAAGTATTAGTGAGTGCAAGAAAGAATTATGAAGAAAGTTATATAGAGGATCGCAGTTCACTGCCAGAAACGTGGCTCCCAAACTCACTTCCATGATTGTTTATCTAACTTGTTCTCTGTAAAAATTACAGTACTGTCTACTCCACTGATAAAACGGGGCACCACCAGAGGTAAAAAAAAGTTTAGGCTAAATGTACAAAGCTATGTCTATGACCAAAAGCTAATTAACTGCTAATATTATGTAGTTAAATTAAGACTACATGTTCCTACTGGAACCAATGATGCCCTCTCCCGGTGATTCCAACTTGCAATAAACTAGGCAGTTTATCTCTGCAATTAGATTTTTTTAAATTAAAAAAGATACCCAAATTATTGTAAAAGTCAAGGTCTACGAATCATTCTAAATCATTTTTTGATGTTACACACTGGGGTTGAATGAACGCCTTGACACACTACTATGTCCTTTGGAGGTTAAGTATTAAATCTGTGATCATAAGTTTCAATTAAGAACAATGCTAAAATTTCAAGCAATTTAAAAATCTTTTACTAAAAACTAATGCATATATTGAAGTGTTTCCTGACAATGTAGGCACGGACATTGTCAGAGTCCATCATCTTAGTATTAGGATGTATCCGTCTTTGGTCTGTATGCAGCAGGATGGACTTGTGACTGTTCATGAAGGACATCCATTGTAAAACTAGAGGGGAAATCAATGGGGGTGGAGAGGGACCCTGTGGAAGGGCCTGGGCAACTCCAGAGCCTACGGAACTGTACCATAAAACAAAATATTTTTAAATGTAAAAAACCTAATATATATAAAGACACAAAAACACAGTAAATATCTATTACGTTTAAAATGGCAGTAAGAGTTAAATTAAAAACCAAAATAGGAACTTACATTTTTGTCATGAAAGTTTCCAGAACATGGTTGTCATCTGTTATTCCTAAGACTTCTGACATACGGGTATACACCTGCATGAAAACATTTCATTGTTATAAGCTTTATCATTAACATATATTTCTAAAGACTGCGCCAAGTTAGACAAATGAGAGATTTCATGCAATATTCTATCCACACTGAAAAGGGAGTAAATAAAGCTTTATAATTTTAAAACGTGTTTTTCTTCTAGAAAGTACCTCTGCTGCTTTGAAATGCATATATGCTTACGAACACAAACACTAACACATCCACTTTACTACCACTATGCTATATAATTTTTCCCCCAAATGGTAAACTACCCCCTTCCAGAGACGAAAGTAGGTGTGCAAAGGACTGTAGAGTGCCTTGACATAAAGCTCCAACCTTTAAAAATTTTTTATGTACTCAAGATTTCAGCAAAGAATCAACTAACTCAGGATTATGCAAGGCAGTTATAAAAACAGGACTTCAAAATCAAAGGAAGTTAGTGATTTTAAGGAAATTCTCTTCAAATATCCCCTAGTTAACCCTCCCTTCCCCTGGTATATAAAGAGGTAGGTCTTACTTTTCAATCCTGTAACTGAAATCCCAGGCTCAGGGATTCTCTGAAATATCAGGGCCTGGGAATCCACTAAGCTTCCAGTTAAGCAAATGTTGGTTGCAGAGTTTGGGGTGCAAAAATTCATTCTTAAGTCACACTGAGCTTGTAAGTACACATCTGACATCTAGTGGGAAAATGCCACAGGCAGCCAATGGAATATCCCCTAATAGCCTGGCAGAGCTGAGAGGTGGCTCGACACCTCCGTACTCTCCGATGCCCTGGTGTGATTCCAGTTTATCCCTGCCAGACACCAGCTGTATGGGATTTTTCCTTCTGTGACTTGATCCCCTGTGATAGTGTTCCCTCACTTTCTACCCATTGGCCTATTTCCCATGTATGGAATTTAGCTCCCACTCCTCTGCTTTCTGTTTTTTTTTTTTCCTTTCTTTTTTATAGTTAAACATCAGCTTGATATAATAGATCATGAAAATAAGATAAATCTATGAGGTACCACAATTATGCAGAGTTACAGGATAATTCAGGGAAAGAAGGGCTTCTGTTGCAGATATGTCATATTTGGAATCAAAGGACTATTCACATCAGAAGTTTGTGTTCTAGGATTTCAACCTGTCTGCAAAGCTCCTGTTTAGGCCAGGTGAGAGAGAGAGACAGAGAGAGAGAGAGAGAGAAAGAGAGAGGGAGAGAGTGTGTGAGGAGATGGAGTTGGGTATAGAGAATGAAAGAAAGAAGGACACACAGTAAAGAGAAGCCGGGATGGGGGATGCGTGAAAGAGAAGGATGACTGAGATTCAAATTCCTGTCCTCTCCTGGGCTAACTACAGAGCCCAGCCGAAAAGCAGCTCAGTGACTATATATATTTAAGACTTGGCCCAAGAAAGCAGGCCTTCATCTCTTTAAGACTCTTCGTATCACTGGGGCTTATAAAATGTTTGGAGAAACAGGGAAGTAGGGAAGAAGACTATAGGGAGATTAGTTATCACCAATCTTCAATGATAAGAAAATCTGAAGCACATAAAAGGCTCAAAGGAACAACTCTATACAGAAAACGAATTTTCCTTAGTTTCTATGGTCCAAAACCTGTCTTAAGGATAGGAGTATTTGAAAGGAGTCCTGGGAAAAAATGATACTCATATTCTTTATAGAACATAAAGCCATTCACAACTTGTCTCCAGCTTACTTTATCTTCATCATTATTTCCCTGAATCACAAATTGCAGTGACCGTATAATGTTCACTGTGTGTTGTTCATTTTGCTGAAGTCAGCCTCCCTCTTCCCATCATTCCCATTCCAAAGTCATCTCTGATTCCTTCTTGGCCTTCCCAGGCAGAGTGAACACATCCTCCTTTATCTGGTCTGGAGGCGTATCGATAGTAACCGGGTGTCTCTCTCCCCAGGTACACCGAGAGCTCCTTGAAGAGTGATAGTATGCCATTTTCTTTTCTTTTCTTTTTTTTTGCCTCAGCACCTAAAACAGTATTTGTTAAATGAACATTACATGTGCATAACGCATAATGACAAAAATTGTGGTATCCATCTTCTGGGAATATGTTATAAATGAATAGCAAGCCAAGAATGAAAAATGAAAGTTCTTATTGTTAATAAGAGAGTCCATGGGCAGAAGATAACAGAAAAAGCACTACTTAGAATACTTTGCATGGTTATCTTAACTTGTAAATACTTAGTAGTTGATAACAGCTGAATTGTCTTTCAACTTTATTTTAGTAATATCCTAATCAAATAACAGCTTTCAAATAAGCCTAATTTATAAAAGCAATTACAGTGGGAAACTGACACGCTATTGTCCAATGTTTACTTTGTTCTGTTCCAGGGCCCTTATCTTTGATTGGAATTATAAAGGCATTTTTCATTTAACAACGGTGAAAGCATGCCGGGATGCTTTTTTTTCTTTAAGAGTTACAGAGGAAGAGACAGACAGACAAGCAGAGAAAGAGAGCTTCCACTTGCTGATTCACTTCCCACTGTCTGCCATAGCCAGGACTGCAACAGGCCAAAGCCAGGAGACTGGAGTTTCTGAGTCTCCTCCTTGGGTACAGGGGCCCAAGCACTTGGGCCATCTTCCACTGCTTTCCTAGGCACATTAGTAGGGAGCTGGATTGGAAGCACCACATCAGGACTTGAATCTGGTGCTTGTAGGGATGGCAGTATCACAGGCGGCAGGGATATGTTTAAACTAGCTCTACTACAACTCAAAGCATAAATTCTCCTTATGGGATACAGAATCATCTTTACAGATAAATAACATTATCATAAATTCAATGCTTTGATATATTGGCTTTTAGAAAGGATATGACCATTTGTTATCGTAACTCACCAATTTTATATTCATTGTATTTACATCTGTCTTTTTCTATTCTCTTTGGCTAATTTTCTTGTTTTGCATCCCATAATGACTACACTGTACATCTCTAAAATCAAATTTTGTGTTTTTCAATACTTCATAAATGCGGTTTATGGAAACACTTAAAATTAATTTAAATTTTATTTTAACCATGTCACATTAATAAAAATATAACAACTAACACAGAAACATTTTAACATTTGAAAAACGTTTCTTTTTAAATGGATGGTTCTATCAGAACAAGTTTTTCCATCGTGCCTCTGCATTTAAGAGAAGAGGAAACCAGGCAGGTCTCTTGTGCTCCGCTGTCAAAACAGTTTCTCTGAGCATCAGATTTGACCCAATAATATACAAGAAAAAACAGTCAACATTGACACATGGCAGTGCTTTAATCCACAATTATCCTTGTAACTTGCACCATTCCTTTTATCATCCATTAGCTTTGATTCCCATTATCCCATCTAGAACTGTGTCAACGCTTTTGTCCTTGGGGATTTCTCTCCACTACTAGGATCTGACAGTCAAGCCTGAGTACTAAACAGGATCATTACCTCTTAAATCCACTTATCTGATCTACTGAATAGTAAATTGAAAAGCTCATTAAGAGCAACAATCTGATTTGTTTTCACAAGTGACAGGGTCATTTAAAATCAATGTGTGATTCCGGCATTTCTTTGAAAAAGACTGTCTCACATCTTACAAAGCTCCTACCTTACCATTCAGGGAACATGTAGGAAATAGGAAAATGTTTCCAAGTATTTGGAATGTAATTACACCACAGACATGGATTATTTAGGGTGAGTAGTAATGTGGCCAGGGAGGAAATAAAAAAAATTGTCTATCACATAGCATAAGTCAAGGAAAGTTTTCCCCAAGGGGGAAAACAACAACAACATCCTAATACAATATTTAGATCCCTCAGTCTTTTCTGTAACTTGTATCATTCATGAACCATAGTTTTTTTTTTTTTTTTAACGATAGCAAAATAAAAAAAAAGCCCACATCACAACACCCATTTACAAGATGTACACAGGAGTTGGCATAAGAATGCAAGAGGGAAAAAAAAAAACCTCCCTTTTTCATTCAAAGATTTCTAGCCTTCCATTTCAGAATCTACTATGGTATTTGAACATAAAGAAAAATTTTTAAAAAATCCAAAAAACAAGACTAAGTTCATTTTTGTTGCCATCTTTCAAAGAATGGACACGCAATGACCCTGAATAAATGGTGATACATTTTATACAGTTAAAGAAGCACATGGTGTCATCACCTTTGGACTGCCCAAGTTCTCCTTCCTTTGGTCCTTTAAAAAAACAACTATATGTCTCCCTAAGACTTAGGCTCTCCTAGAGTAGGGAGCACGATTTGAAGTGGAGGAGCTGGGGTTTGAATGGGTGCCCATTTAGGATGCTGGGAATGGAGGTAGTGTCTTAACCAGCTATGCCACAGCACTAGCACTGCCCCACATTAGGGATATTTTTTAAAGATTTATTTTATTTTTATTGGAAAGGCGGATATACAGAGGGGAGAGACAGAGAGGAAGATCTTCCGTCCAATGATTCACTCCCCAAGTGAGCACAACGGCTGATGCTATGCCGGTCCGAAGCCAGAAGCCTCTTCCGGGTCTCCCACGCGGCTGCAGGGTCCCAAAGGTTTGGGCCATACTCGATTGCTTTCCCAGGCAGCAGAGAGCTGGATGGGAAGCGGGGCCAGTGGGATTAGAACTGGCGCCCATATGGGATCCTGGGTGTGCAAGGTGAGGACCTTAACCACTGCGCCACCGCGCTGGGCCCCATTAGGGATTTTTTTAATGAAAGGAAAGTAATCCATATTAGCATCCACCAGCCCTACCACATAGTACTTTTTCCCCCTGAAACAAATAACATACCCTTAATTCTGCTCTTTAGTGGTGAACATGGATGCAATTTTGTTATTTAACAAGGGTGGCTTCAATGCTTAAATAATATTTTTGGCAGAAGACGTCTTTGTAAATTAAGTAAGAAGAGCACCCCACCATTGTATCTTCAACAGTATTTATTATGCCAGCTTGTTATCAATCAACACATCTCAAACATTAGAGCACAACCTTGCTGGGCTGTTAATTTTCCAAGTGAATATACATTTCCCCTACT